TACCGTTTAGTTAGTTGTACAATTACCTCTAATTAGTGTTTTGCAAATCTTAGTAACAAAGAATGAACACCACGATCAAGCATAATTACATATTATTTTTTACAATTTTGATTTCAAGAACAGGAGATATTACCTGCTACATCCTCCATTTTTCTTCTTTCTTCTACATTTCATATTATGCAAATTTCAGAACAGCTGACTCCTCATGCACTGGCATCTCAAACGTAACGTATTAAACTTCATTTTACCTGGAGTTTTCAACTGTAAATCACGTTCTTTTTTCTCCCAGCAATACATAAACTCCTTTCTGTTTGATCTATTTAAAGAAGATGTGTTTGCTAACAAAAAAATTTCTAGCATAAACAAAGAATTTTGCTTTTAAGAAAAAATTTACCCAAATTTACCGTAGATCCTTTTCTAAATCACACAGCATAGAATGTTAGGCATAGGATTCTTTGTCTGAAGTAAGCTCCTTAAATATGACTGTTGACACTTAAACATGGCACCTTTACACTTTGTCTAGGGCATAATTCTGCTAGTAACAGAATTCCCCCATCCTAAGACAGTAAATGTGAAAATCTTGGGCCCAAAGTTACAGAGCCAGCTGCGTTATAATGGTATCTCAGCAAGCTATTTTTCCTTCACTGCTAGTGGCTTTATTGTTTGGTTCATCCTAGTATCGTTGCTAATGCACACTTCTTCCTTTCATTTTTGTCAGAAGGGTTCAAGAAAATAAAATTTTTAAAAAAAATTCAGATACAACATAGACAAAGCAGATTATGGAATAAAATACAGTCTAATAGGTTCAGATTTAATTAGCATACAAAGAAGAGCAGAACAAAAGGGAAAAAGGAGTGTGTAGGAAGCTATTCATATTTATAGCAATTCAAAATGCAGGATTATTTTCCGTATTATGTGTCTGATAAAAATGTAAAATATTGTAAAAAATAAACATTTTATATAGAGATTAATTCTTTGTAGAAAGAATTAATCCTGTGACCCTGAATGAAACTGAAATATACAAAGGAAAAGCATTTTAAAAGTATTTTTAATTGAGATGCTCAAAATTGTTTGATCCCTTTCATTTTCTGGATCACAGCTCTCAGATATAGCTCTTAAAGAACAGAAGTCATGCAAATTGATCTAAGGTCTCTGACAGATGGAGTCAAGAGTTTGGTGCTATTTCCAAAATATTTGCTGGAGATTACTAAACCTGTACTAGGCTGGTAGATAAGTATGCGTGTTTTCTGTTCAAACTTGCTCATAGACTGACATATTACTTCAAACACCCCTTATCAATTATTAAAATTAAAATAGGAGAGTTCACATTGAAGCAGCTGACGTGTCTGCATGCATTGAATAACTTCCACAGGAAAAAAAACCAGACAGAAAGCCTTCTCAAATCACAGCCACTAAGACCTGCAGAGACTACCAGAGTTCTGGGGCACGAGACATTTGATTGGCACAATCTGTAGTGGAAAAGGCCTTTAGGATTTGTTGTTTCTGGAGTGTGTGTGTACACAAATATATGTATGTATACATATGTGTCTGTATATATGTAGACATATATTTCTGTACATATATATAAAGAGTATTATTAACAATTATTGAAATAGAGTAAATATTGTAGCATAATTGTACTAAAAATAATTAGTTTATTAACTCTACGTATTTTTTAATTAATGAAGTAAAAGGTTTCCATGCACCATACACTGCATACAAGAATTGCATAAATATTACAAGACTTTACACTAATTTATTATCCTGTCTTTCTTTCAGCAAAGCTCAGCAATTTAAATCAAATTCAGAGACGAGAACAATTCTTTCCAAATGAAGAAGATAGCAGAAGCTGCAGTCTCGTTGTCTTATTGTGCAAGGAAGCTTGCACAATAGTCAAGTGTCTGCAGTAACACTTGTCTATGTTTAAATATACTGTATTTCTATAACCCAGAAAAAAGAACGGAATGTCAAACAAACGTTTGTCCTGAAGCTCATGCAAATGCTTTGCTTTATAGCACTCAGGCCTTCTTATCAAAATTGTAGTCTGCATCCTTCTTAAAGTATGAAACTTAAATATATACAAATCAACTACATTTGCAAAACTATCATGACAATACTAACATTTAATTAATAATGAGTCCATTTGTTTCTGTAATCCCAGAGGTTTATAGAAAATACATTTATTTCAGTGAATTGGCTCCATTAGCATCACTACTCTAGAGACTAGAGTTCAAGAGCAATTTCATATTCACATCTTAAACTCTGTGTAACACTAGAAAACATTTTAGCCAATTTCACTAACAATATTTACCTATGCAAGGATTCACTTCACAAACAAATGCTGTATAAGAATCAAGCAATAAAAACCTCCAACAAACCCACGACAAAAAAGGACAATGAAGAGAAACTGACATTTCAGCCACCGAAATATATAAAAGCAAAAAGCCTTTCTCGCTGTTTGTTTTTTTTTGGTTTTTTTTTTTTTTTTTTTAACTACTGCTTCCTTGGCTTACAAAGAGGAGACTACATGTTTGCAAACACTGCTAGTAAAAAGAAAAGCATGTCATCCACATGCATAGATGACCATCTGTTAGATAATGTGAAACTTCATCTGACTATGAAACTACATCAGCCAGAATAGATACAGGTGTTTTAAATGCTACATTTTCACTTATGGAAATGGGTGACCCAAAATGGTAAGCAATATTCTACTAGATAACCTGATAACCTGAAAACACTTTACTAGCAGAAAATTGTTTGTTTGAAATCAAAATTATTTTTTTTTTATCTAAGCCCTCAAGCTTGTGGATACTTTTCATTTGCCACTGTGAATCTTTGTAAAATGTGCATCTCCTTCATTTACTGGTTTGTCTTTTATGTCAGCGCAGTAAGCACAGTATTATAAAATTATTACATTCTCTACAGTTGATTACACACAGGGGAGGGCGATCATGAACTGAAACTGTAGCATTCAAATGTGATCTGCCTATGGCTGTGCAACTAAATGAAACTCAAAGACAATCAGCCTTCATAAGTAACAGTTAAATGCAAAATTAATGACAAACAAACTAATAAAGGCATGGAATTCTTCAAAATCAGGAAGGCAGCTCCCATGTAAACTACAGGAACCTTTGAAACTAAGAGACGTATTTAGCCAGTACCATTGTCTGTCTCTTGATAGTCTCACCCTGTGGGTAGTGGGCAAGAGAATAAACAACATATATGAAGCATTTTATTTTAAATAAAAAATGAAATTGGGTGGTTTACTTGATTGAGAGAAGGAAGACGAGAAATTGTTGGATTTGGCCTCAGTGCAAAGAATATCTGGAGACTGCTGAGATTTTCAATAAACTTTCTGTAAAGGCATCTACCTTCTCACAGAGAAGCAGGAACGATCTAAAAACTTGTTTCAACTTCTGCACACAATAGCAGTGAGAACATTTCTAGAACTATTGGGAATTTCTCTACGTATTAGGAAAATTCTCTTTAGTTAACCAAACAGGTTTTTAAACCTTTGCATAAATAAAAGATGCCAGTCTGAAACTCAGGTTTTTTGGGGTTTGGGTTTTGTCTTTTTTTTTTTTTTTTTTTCAGAAACTGTAGGGTAAAATAAAGAAATTAAATTAGCAGCTAACACTAAACTTCCAGCGATTTAGTAAAACCACATAAACTAGTTTACTCCTTTACACAGCATAATAAAGATATTTTTAAAGTGGCTAAGTGCCAACTCCTGCTTAGGTTAGGTCATCATACTAAAATAGTTACTGATACTGTGAGAGGATAGAGATAACCAAGACTAAAGAAACGTTGGCTTTAATGGTAGGTTTTTATAATGCTGCTTCTCCTGACATAATTTTTCAGATAAGGAAAAATTTTTAATGTATGTGCTTAACTGTGCTTTATTCTACTCAAAATTCTTGCAGAATACCCTCTTTTGAACTCTCCATGCTACTTTATGATGGAAAACGCCATTAAAAAGTATAGGCAATGTGTCTGACTGGGGAAAGTTCGTGAAACTTATTGCTTGGATTTGTTTTGCTATTCATCCGGAATACCAGTTCAAAGGGTGAGCGCCAAACAGGCTCTGGAGAGCCAATCTTTAGCTGCGTCCTTGCAGCATTTCCAGAATAAAAACGATACGTGGGGAAGAACAACTTCTCCTGGAAGGTCCTGGGCGCCTCAGGCACATTCTGATACTCCTGAGGAAGTCCCCCGTAAACACCGCATCTCCTCCTTCCTTCTCTTCCGCACAAAGCACGGCCTCCCTCCTCGCCGAGCCCTCAGACGCGCGGACACCGCCCTGCAGGGGCCGCACCGCCCGCAGGGCGGGGCCACGTCCGGGGGGCGGGGCCGCCCCGCGCGCCAGTCGCGGCTGCGCCGGCGCCGCCACTCCCACAGCGGGCGGGCGGAGGTTCGTGCGCGGGGCCAGCGGCCGGCGTGGGACCGACGGGGGCGAGAAGGCGCTTTCGCTGAACGCTCGGCACGGTGATATCTTATCTTTTCTCGCTTCTCGACCCCTCTGCCCATCTTTCCTCTCCTCACCTTCCCTCGCTCCCAGCCTTTTCTGCCCCCCCGGCGGGGCGCGCGGGCGGGGGAGAGGGGCGGCGGGCCCTGAGGAGAAAAACGTTAATGGCCGGAGCGCGCGGGTGCGCGCGGCCCGAGCCCGCCTTCCCGCCACGTGACACCCCCCCACGCCCTCCTCCCTTTCCCGCTCGGCTCCATATTGGCGCTGCGCGAGGCAAGTCCGGGCACAAAATGGAGGTAACGGGGAGTGGGCCTCGCCGGGCTCGGCCAAGGCGGGGGTCGAAGGAGAGGCCAGGCCAGGCCAGGCGGCTCGTCGCGCGGAGCCGGAGCAGCTCGATCTCTACCCGAGCTCTCAGGCGCAGGCGGGCGGGAGGGCGCGGAGCGAGGGTGGGGGGCACCTCACGGAGCCCTTCGCGGTTCCCGTGGCCGCCGCCTCCTTGTAGCGTTCCTGGCGCGCTCCAGATCCGCTTTCCCCGGCGACGCGGCGCTTTATTCCGCAATGGCGCGGGCAGGAAAAGGGAGGGAGCGGGAGAGCGGCGCTTCCGCCGCGCGGCCCCGCGAGCTGCGGCCGCCATTTTGCAGCGCTCTGGCGTGTGGGCGAGAGCGGCCCGGCCCTCGGCCTGGGGCAGGGCTGTGGGTAGCAGAGTCCTCCGCAGCAGTCCTGGGCACACCGAAACACCTGGGCGCGGATTCAGGCGGGAGTAGGGAGAGGCGAGCCCCACACGTGCCTGTGTCATTGTTCTGCCCTCCCTGTGTTCTCCCCTCCCCCCACGTAAGTTACCCGAGTAGTGCGCCAGGGACATTTTTTCCACACTCGCTTTCCTCAGAACAGACTTTTAAAGCGTTAAGATCATTAGGTGCAGTACGCTGCTTCTCGTAGAGGAATGCTGATACACGTTGCGACACCTCCCTAATATCTCTCACCCCTTTCTAGGGGGAGTTAACACGTGTAGCGAGCCTCTGCTCTCTTCCCTTTCTTCACTACCCCAACCACACATGCACAAAAGTCACGACATTTGGTGGCATCCAGCCATGATCTTGGTGTGGTTGCACGAAGAGGCAGCCCTGTACAAACCTTGGTTCAGATATCCTGAACTTTATTGAAGTCGAGATCAAATGCAGACTGAAGTAATCATCCCTGCCCTACCTGGAGGGAAATGGTCATTATCTTCCCCCTTTGCTTTTCTTTCCTCGAAACCTTTTCTCAAAGGCTTTTTTCTCAAGTATTTCAGAGTGTGGTGAGAAGAATAGTGCAGATTCTTTTGTGTGCTGTTTATTCCCTTCATTGCAAGATGAAACCCTATAAAATTAAGATCAGAAAACAAGAGATCACACTAGTGATCTACATCAACTACTGTTCCTGCATTAAAAGCGGAGAAGAAACTGGATCCCTTAGCAAAACAGCTAAAAATAACTTTTCCATGTAAGCAATTGTTTTAGCAGCTTCAGGGTTTAAGTGGAGGGGTTGATGTAGTCAAAGCATTTGAACATGCTTCTGTAAAGCTTGAAAATCCATCACATAAGATACTAAGCTTTTATCTTGGCAATTTTTTTCCCAGGCAGACATTCCTGTTGGCATTGGGAATAAACTACCAACACACCTAAAGCTGAAAATAATTTTTTCCCCACTTTAACTTTTAGGTTTACTACAGTACACTAAGTGTGTGCACTTTAGGTCTAACTTTAGCTATTTACAGAAAAGACTGATATATCTCCATAGTATTCTCTGATTGGACAGGAAAACCTCCATCTTGGGAATGTCTGTTTTGCCTCTGTTAGCTCCTTGTCTCCTGTAAGAGATACAGCAGCACTGTAAGTTCCTTTGAGTAGTGAGACGTCTCCTAATGACTTTTTCTCATTATAAGCTAAGAGATTTGCTCTGAGACTACTTTCATTTCTGTAGTGAAGTTGCAGTATGTAAGTGTTCAATGCTAGTTTAACTAGCATTTAGTGATAGCTGTGTTCCAACTGAGCTGGTGGTGTGGCATTAGCAAGGAGACAATACTGTTCTGACCGTCATGGCCTGCAGAGACCATGCCCGGGAGCTTAATGTTGGCCAGCACTGAGCCTCACCGGGGGAAGCAGCAGGTGACAAAGTTAGAGAGGGATTGCATACTTTCCATTACTTACAAAAGTATTTAAATAAGTTTGTCCCTTTCCTCCTAACAATTCCTGAAGTTGTATTTTGCCATACAGCCAGTTTATAAAAAGCCTTTGAACTGTTAATGGTCTGTTCCATACCTGGCATGTATGACTTCAAGAACTGAACAGCTCAGTTGAAGCACTTAATATCCTAATACCTCCTAAGTCAAACTGTTGTTTGATTTAATGGATTTCAAGAGGAGGTTTAATATTGTGTAGAGAGGAATTAAAGATAATACAAACACTTCGATGTTACTTAATAAAACCTTTAAAATTGTTAATGCGTTAAATCATTATACTCAAGATTTCACAGTTGAGTTTAATTTAAAGCTGTATTTTAACATGGAATTCTATTAGACAATAATTTCCACTATGAATAACAGCACATATTGGTCATTAGTAGAGACCTGTCTGCCTTTCCGTATGCAGTATTTGCATGAAGAAAACTTTTAAAAAAAAACCCAACCCAAACAAACAACCCCCACAGAAACACACCTAATCTTGTAGATATCTGTGATTTTAATACACCACAAGAGTAGTTTTACTGAAGTATGTTATAAAATATACAGTATTGCATTTTAGTGACTGTAATAAAGCTTCAGTAAACATCCAAAGTAGTGATGAATTGTGGTCAGATACCAATGCGCTAATACTAAGGCAAGTAACTTGAAAATCTCAAAAAATTTTAAAGAATAAAGGCTGTAGGGAACATTTTTTTGTTTAAATGTATAGGTATGGGTTCATCCACTGAGGTTATCTTGTAGAAGATGTAATTTTTGTAATGATACATACATAACTTTATATAATACAGTAATCAAATAGATAATTTGGAAGCAAAAGTAATGTAAATGTCTAGTGTTACATATTGCTGAGGATCAGATGTTAAAATTCCTGATGTTGCAAGAGACAGTCAGTAAATTCCACTGCTGATAGTGGTAAATGGTTTTCAGTACAGAAAACATTGTAAGACATCCTTTAGTGTTCCAGGATGCTGGATTGCTGATTACAATAGGTTACCATCAGATAGTTCTTACTAGCACTATTTGCAAAATGTTAAGTGTTTTGGGGTTTAAAACCCAGAGATTTTAGATTTATATATATTTATATATATATATTTATATATATATTTAGAATTTATATAGTGGTTTTGGGTATCAGAGGTGGCATTTGCTTGCCCTGTATCAGTTGTATCCGTGATAGTTATGTAAGACAGTAACAGATACAGGTTTTCTGCAGATTTTAGCATTGTACCTAGGTATTCCAACAGTTGTAAAATGAGCTTTACTAGGATAGCAGATGTTCCTTCTGCAGCTCTTCATAATCATCAGCAAATAGGCTGAGGATTTTTACCCTTTTAAATACTTGGATTTTTTTTCCTGCTTTTACCTGTTTAGCCCCGTAAAGCCACACCTGTGCATTTCAGCCAGAGAAGGCCCTGTGTCACAGGAATTGGGGTAAGTGCTGACTTATCCAACCTGTTTTCTAGGTTTCCTAGATCTAAAAGAAAGGCTGAGTTAGAGTACCCTTCCAAAATGGCTGCTATTAAGGAAGAGAGAGAGGTGGAAGACTACAAGAGGAAAGGAAGACGATCCTCACAGGTGAGAGGGTTGTTTTTTTTATTTAAAAATACAAGTTTTAAGGGGAAACAAAAGAGAAAAAAACCCAAGTTACTAATTTCTATCTGATATATTAATAAATGGCTTTTTTTTCTACCTTCTTCATCCCCGTGTTAGCAGAGTAACTTTAAATTGCAGTTTATTGCTTACAGTTTTAAGGGGTGGGGTGTTAGCGTAACGGGGAAATTTTGCTTTTCTAGTTTTCTGTTAAAACAAAACCAATTAAATATATGTTTCTGATTAAAGCAAGCTGTAATTATTGAAAAATTCATGCATCCTCAGAGTATCAGCAGGAACTTGAATACTTCATATCTTCAAAGTTCTGTTTTTAGTGGGAATGAAGACAGGTTCCTTTTTTCTTTTTTCTTTTTTTTTTTTATGAAAAAATGGTTGCCTGATAGTCACTGCAAATGAAAGCGAGCTGTACTAAGTAAAAATAACTGTTTTCTTTTGCTTCTAGCAGAAATACCGTAGACTGAATAAGGTGCGTAGTATAGAGAAGATGTTGGGGCTGTTTCTGGGAGGATGGGAGCTAGTTACTTTGGGGCAGGGTGTGGAAATGGGAGGGGGGTGAGGGTCTTGATACCCTTCAGAAGGTAATTTTAAGATCAGCAAAAAGGGTGTTAAATATGTCTATATAGTTTGTAACTGAGGCATTTTCTGATTGTTTATTTCGATTTGCTTGCTTTCTAACATCATTTTTTCAGGATGCCTGAATAGCTAGTTGAAACCAACTTTTTTCTGGAATGATATACTACTGCAATGTGGGAGGGCCTCTACACTTGGGTTAAGAACAAACCTTGTTAGAGTTGCATGCGTCTGGTAGCGTGTGTGTAAAGTCCTTCTGGAAGGAATGTTGAAACTCTCTGACTGATTTGGACTTTAGATAGAGTGTAACTGAGGTTGCTCAGCTGCATACTTGTAGTTCACAAGCTTTGTAGTTCACAAAAGTAGCTTGCCCTGGAATGATTTTAAAACCTATAGAGTTTGTAGAGAAACTGTTTCACAGAGGTGCTGAGGCCACAGTTGCCTGTCAGCTTTCCCGTTTCAGAAGACAGTCTAGGATTGTACTGCCTGGGGGACAGGATGGTCTCACATTTAGCCACAGCTGCCTGTAGGTGTGGTGCCAGGCATTTTGTGGACACTTTGTTCATAGAGGTATAATCCATGGGAGGGCTCCACCTGAAACCTGTGCCTCTAGAGAGAAATACTGCAGCTCCAAAAGGCTGATTATTCAAAACCCCTGCCATAGGAAATTTCATTTGATAGCAGCCTCGGGATAGAGGCAGTATGTATCTACAGCAGCATTGTCAAAAGGTGTCCGGATTTCTGCAAAGATGAGGATTCTGGCTGCCATCTTTTGCTCCCCTCTGATGAGAGGTACAGTTAGGTTGTGCTGAGCGTTGGGGGGTTTAGGTAGGACCTAGGAACCAGTGTTTCGACGTTGCTGGCGGGAGAAGGTGAGCGGAGGGGCCCACGCAGTCCCCTCAGCGCCGGCCTGTCCCTGCCCTCCTGCCGGGCCGGCGGGCCCCGCCCATGGCGCCACTGCGGCGCTGGGATCTGACGGCGCGGCCCCGCCCCCGGCTCCATATTGACGGCGGAGGAGACACGGCCGCTCACAAAATGGAGGCGGTCGGGACTGCGCAGAGCCTTGGCTTTAGGGAGGAAGGCAGTAGTCGAGGCAGGAAAGAAAGTTTCCCGCCTCATCAGAGCCTATTAGTGTGCTTGGAAGCCCCTTAAACAGTTCCAGGGGAGAAACAGCGTTTTGGCGGCTAAATGCAGGCTGGGCCTTCTTACAGCTTAAACTCTCCGCCCCCGTAGAGGAGAGCTGCAAAATGGCGTGCTGGCCTGCGGTGTCAGCGGAGTAGGAGGCCGCCTGCTGATTTTGTTGGAGCAGTGTGGTAGTTAAACTAAGGAGGAAGGGAGAGAGGTGTTGCACAGCATTTGCTGCTCAGGAGAGACTGCTGCTATGAGTAACCTCCAGCAGAACAACCGAGAAAACAGCGCTTTGTCATATAGGACAGCACTGAAAACCCCAGTGAGAACAAACTGCCTGGAAAAAAACTAATTCCTTAAGAAAATGCTGCCTTTTATTTTTATGTAGAGTTCCTATAACATAGGTGTGTCCTGAGGATAATTTCTCTCTAATGAAAGAGAAACTATAACAGCAGGTGTTCTTGTTCCTGTATGAGAACAGCAGTTCATGTGCACATAATAACAATAAGCTGAGAAGGACTTCACTTTTCCTTTCAGGAATGACCTGAAAAGTTGTGTGGTCATTCTTTTAGGGTAAAAGCAGTCTGAGTTGTTAGCTGAAAACCATCATAGCCTTGAGAGATATTAGAGAACTGTAGAAGTTTGTCTAGTTTTTCCTTATATAGGTTTTTTGTTTTGGAGGAGTCCGAACTCTGTAGTTTCACAAAATAAATTTCCTTTAATATATGTAAGAGACTTTGAAACACTCAGTGTTCCCAGCTTTAACATGACCCAGGTAAAAATTACATATTGTCTGTAGATTTAAAAAAAACAGCAACAGAAAACAACACTTGGCCTAAAGCAGTTTCCGTATGCAGTGGGTGTGTTACCCTATAAAATTTTAAGTTTACATGTTGTTAGAAGGGAGATTTTATTTATTATACTTTTGTAGTCCAGACCACTTAGAAGACCGTAGAAAAGAAGCTTAACTTTGTAGTCCTAGGATTGTTGACTGTTAATCATTTATATAATGTTCCTGCAGTAACAAGGCCATAAATAGAAAACTATAACTGAGAATGCTCGTGCTGTTTCTCAAAAAGTTTAGCAGGTGTGAAAGCAGGAATTTGCTTCTCAGACAGTTTCTCATTGTCGTCGTAGGTGTTGTTTCCTGTAGTACAACCTGAACATTATAAACCAACAATTTCCTAAAGCACTGTGTAAATCAGAAAATCTCACTCAAAGGGATGCTTTCCTGGCTATTCCTAGCACCTTAGCAGAGCTTAAAGCACCTAAGGTTTGAAGCAAGATGTCTACACATAGAAGTCTGTGGCTGGTTTTATGTAGTTCACCTCTCACAATAATGCTGCATCTAGTCTGGTTCAGCGCACTGCAGCAGAAACAGCGAAGCCTGTTGCGCATTTGTGCTGCAGAACTGAAGTCATACATAGTATAGCTGGCCAGTACCTTGTGGAGTGTTTCACATGCACAGAAGTTCATGATTGCAAAACAAGGTTTTAATTTGGTTGCCTTTTGGTAAGACTTCCCTTACAGTGGAAGAAAGTTTTAAAATAATATTTCGTAAACTCCTGTCAAAGGTGTGGGGAAATTCCCTGCCTACTAAAAAAATGCAGCACTGAAAGCAGAAACACAATTGTACTTGTAAGCCCACTTTAATCATTCTATAGAAAACTGGGCTCTAAAACTTCATTTTAAAATGTGACTGCTCATATATAGGCAATGTTGTCAAAAGCTTCAATTAAACTCATTTCTGCATCCTTAAATTTTTTATAGTTTTTTGTGATTATGCTTCATGAAATGTTAGAACTTTATCCAGCGGTGCTTCATCGCTAGTCCCTACAGAGCAATCTGCAACTCAAAGATAGGCATAGAATGAATGCACTTCCAGGGGGTGGGGAGCAACCAAGTTATTTAGTATATTGAAATTCTTTTACTGTTTGCATTGGAACACTCTTAAGGTTGTTAGTTAGTTAGTATTTTAATTAAAATCACACCTCATTAATTGTTTATTATGCTGCTGTCTTATACCCATTAGAAGTCATTGTTTTTATGTAAATATATTCCACCTATTTGTAGGTATAATGTGCACAGATAATTTTTAGTAATTCTGTGAAATTTTAATTCTGTAATTTGTATTCAAAATATGTTTTTGATTTTTGATTTTGTAGGGCCATGAGCCGAAGGAGCCAGAGCAGTTGCGAAAGCTGTTCATTGGAGGTCTGAGCTTTGAAACAACAGATGATAGCTTGAGAGAGCACTTTGAAAAATGGGGCACACTCACGGACTGTGTGGTAAAGTGTCTAATAATAGTTGGTGGTTTTGAAAGGGTATAGGTACTTAATCTAGGACAGAGATGCAGATACCTCCTGTGTTCTTGCAGGTGATGAGAGACCCCCAGACAAAACGTTCCAGAGGCTTTGGCTTTGTGACTTACTCTTGTGTGGAGGAGGTGGATGCTGCCATGAGTGCTCGACCACATAAGGTTGATGGGCGCGTGGTTGAACCAAAGAGAGCAGTTTCGAGGGAGGTGAGTTAGTGTTTCAGTTAACCTTTTTTCCTAGTGTTTACCTAATAATGTGAAGTACTGAATGTCATTTTTGGCACTTCAGGATTCTGTAAAGCCTGGGGCACATCTCACAGTAAAGAAAATATTTGTTGGTGGAATTAAAGAAGATACAGAAGAATATAATTTAAGGGAGTACTTTGAAAAATACGGCAAGATTGAAACCATAGAAGTCATGGAAGACAGGCAGAGTGGAAAGAAAAGAGGCTTCGCTTTTGTAACTTTTGATGATCATGACACAGTTGATAAAATTGTTGGTATGTAACTCTTCATTGAGTACTACTTTTGTGGGATAAGTGTTAGTGTAAGACTTCAGAACAGCAACATGTGGAATGAGGTGTTTGCATAGTCAACTGCTTTACTGTTGTAAGAGATGGGGTCAGTTTCATTTTTCTTTTAAAAGTTGTGCTCATGCCTTACAGTAGCTGTCTCTGAGAGTTTTACAGCATATTATTGTGATGTGATTTTCTAACTTTGCTATTTCACAATTTTCTGTAGTTCAGAAATATCATACTATAAATGGACATAACTGTGAAGTGAAAAAAGCTCTCTCAAAACAAGAGATGCAGACTGCTAGCTCTCAGAGAGGTGAGTTGTAGTTGTGCATAGTTATTTTATGTAACGGACTTTCAATTAATGTAATTCAAGTGAAATATTTTGTAGGTCGTGGGGGTGGCTCCGGCAACTTTATGGGCCGTGGAAACTTTGGAGGCGGTGGAGGGAACTTTGGCCGAGGAGGAAACTTTGGTGGGAGAGGTAAATGACTGGACTATTTATATAGAATGTGATTTCTGGTGTAGTTTGTTTTTTTTTTATTTCCTGTGTCAGTTGGCTTAAACATTTAACATGTGTGTTCAGGAAAACATTCTCATCTGTTTTGTGTTCTAGGAGGCTATGGGGGTGGTGGTGGCGGTGGTGGGAGCAGAGGAAGCTTTGGGGGTGGTGACGGATACAATGGATTTGGTGATGGTAAGTGTATTGTTCACTTTCTTTTTCCCCACACTGTTAGAACAAGCTGTAAGTCTTGCATTCACCTTCAAAACAAAATCTGCTTTGGTGATAATGTGATAATAGTGATAATGGAAGTTAAATGTCTACATTGTAGAGCTGTGAAGAATTAGTGGTTTTTTTGTTTTCCCCACAAAATGTGGGATGGATGGACAAAAATACTCCTTTGTATTTACCCTTTAAATAATCTCATATTATGAGGTCATGAGACAGCTGTTAAAGATCATTTAAGATTCTGCTGTCAGTTGAAAAGACTAAAACTGAACAAAGCAATGGCCAGCTATCATACCAGAAATGTTTTCAATCAGCTGTAAGAGTTTTCATGACTGGGTAGTATCTTTTTCATTATGAAGTTTGGATGAGTATCCAGAATGCATCTGAAGAGAAATGTGTACATTACCAAAAGGCCAAAAAGGACAATTATCAATAGTCAGAAAGGGACGAGGGAAGTAGTATGTGATTACTTGGGTCCTGACTTTATAAACATGGGGAATTTTTTCAGTTAAATAGCTTAGATAAAGTTGGAACCACAATGAGTATAATAAAGGGAAAATGCTGTGGGAGATTTTTATTGTGTTGGTTTGGGTTTTTTTTGTTAAATGGACCTTTCCTTGCCGGTATTTGGCTTTGGTGTGTTTAGTTTGACTTTTTTATTCAAAGGTGGCAACTATGGAGGTGGTCCTGGCTATGGCAGCAGAGGAGGTTATGGTGGTGGTGGAGGACCAGGATATGGAAACCCAGGTGGTGGATATGGAGGTGGTGGAGGAGGATATGATGGCTACAATGAAGGAGGAAATTTTGGTGGTGGTAAGATGCCAACTTTAATTAGACATCCATATTTTTTAGTCAGGTCTCATTTTACAGTGCCTGAAATATGGTGCTGGAATATGTATAAAATGGGTTGTACAAGTAGGTTTTAACATAGAATGCCATGTTGCATAAGGAGAGTTCTTTTCAGTGTGGATCAGCTTTGATACGCTATAACATGATGTTGCCTGGGATGTATTTTTCAAAAAGTTTCAGCTGTAGGTCTGTGTGTGGAGGTAGAGTATTAAAGATTTTGACCATTTTAAATACGCTGTTTTCCTCAGATACCAGTTCACATCATGTAGATCACATCTTCCTTTCCAAGGACTGTGAATATAAGTTTTTATAAGCTTTTTTTATTGTTTGCCCCAAATTTGGGAAGTCAAGCTGCAAAAGCTGCTGCATACTTTATTATACTTTCTGATGTACATTTGCAGCGTGCCCGTTACACTTCTATCACTTTTTGGAGCAAATAGTGTGTAATTTACATTGTTGTCATACATGCAGAGTGTTGGGCAGTGGAAAAATGATGGTGAAACTCATGTGCTTTTCTTACTTTAAGGACCTTTAATTGTGTTAACATCAAATTGCCTACTCAAATCGATAAATTTTCCAATGTTAAGGGTTTTCTGTTATTCATACATTTTGCATAAAGGTAGCATGCAAAATGCTTGAACTTCATTTGAAATAGTTTTAAACTATTACTTTCACGTTGGATACCATAATTTCCAGGCTTTGTGCCCTAAGAGTTGATCAAACATGACTTTATAAATTTGTGTTTGTTTCAGGTAATTATGGTGGAAGTGGAAACTACAATGATTTTGGCAATTACAGTGGACAGCAGCAGTCTAACTATGGTCCCATGAAAGGTGGTGGTAGCTTTGGTGGCAGAAGTTCAGGCAGTCCCTATGGTGGTAAGCATGATTTTGTATAGAGAATGTTTTTTTGAGTTAAAATCCCTTGTTATTCTTGTATTTCAATATACATCCTATTTTTGTAGGTGGTTATGGATCTGGAAGTGGAAGTGGGGGCTATGGTGGTAGAAGATTCTAAAAATGCTACCAGAAAAAGGGTAGGTGTAATGTATATTTATAATGATGATTAATAATGTGCAACTGTTCACTGAGAGTAATAATTTTCTTATCCTGTATTCAACAGGCTACAGTTCTTAGCAGGAGAGAGAGCGAGGAGTTGTCAGGAAAGCTGCAGGTTACTTTGAGACAGTCGTCCCAAATGAATTAGAGGAACTGTAAAATCTGCCACAGAAGGAACGATGATCCATAGTCAGAAAAGTTACTGCAGCTTAAACAGGAAACCCTTCTTGATCAGGACTGTCATAGCCACAGTTTGCAAAAAGTGCAGCTATTGATTAATGCAATGTAGTGTCGATTAGATGTACATTCCTGAGGTCTTTCTCTGTTGTAGCTTTGTCTTTCTTTTTTCTTTTTATTTTCCCATTACATCAGGTATATTGCCCTGTAAATTGTGGTAGTGGTACCAGGAATAAACAAATCAATGATTTTTTAACTTTTCAATATTTGTGTAGTTCAGTTTTTCCACATTTAGTACAGAGAACTATAACAGAAATAAAATGTAGTTTAGGGTGTTTCCTTGTTAGTTAATAGAGAAGATTAATGCATTTCTCAATTACTATTTTGTATTAATTTAAAGTTAACAATAGAAACACCTATTGATTTGCAGTCTTAAGGGTCTAGTCTCAGTGTATATACGTAACTGTCATTGACATGACTTACATAGGCATACAGAGGGAAAACATCTGTATGTTGCATTATAGTTTGTTTAGATGTATAACTAGGATTGAGTTACTCAAATTAGTGTTTGTGAATCATAGAACTAAGCTTTACCTTAATGAAAATTTAAAATTACTTTTTGGTTTGTGCATATTTTTTTAATTTGTAGTTCTGTATTAGTACTAGCGCTTCAAGAAAATAAGGCATGATAAATATTTTAACAAGACCAACTTTAGACACATGAAAGCTGTCTCCCGTCTCATTTGAGATGCATAAGGGATAACTGAAGTTGTTTAAGTCTTGGGTTAAGAGAAAAAGAAACTTGCTTTTTACCTTTATATTTATTGTAATTCCCGAGAAGTTAAGGTGGGGGGAATCAAGTGCCTGTTTCCTTGAGATATACAATGAATCTGTTTCAATAAAACTATACTTTGGGGAGGGTGGCTTGGAATTTTCATCCCCTTCCTTTGTCCCCATTTCCTTTTCCCTCACACCAGACTGCACTGTTTCAATTAAATGAGGCGTCATAGTGAGAGTAATAGGTATGTTCCTCAATAATTTAATGGCTATATACTTTCTTGCGTGCACCCTAGGCAATTTTCTGGACACATTCTTCTGACTGGGAGCCAAGGGTAGCGCAGGTGTAATCACTGACAGTCCCAGGTAATGCGTTCCAAAAGCCCATTCCCCGTGGGCTCTGAAGTAGTATAGTTTGTAAGCTGTTTCCCTTGCAGATGTCTGTGCTCAGCTAAGAGCTTGAAAATAAAACACCATCTAGTTGTATTTTTCCGACTAGAAACACTTCCCACGATGTAGAATGTACAGTCTCAAGTTCCCCCAGGCAGAGCGATAGTGTGCTGCGACTGGATTTGGTGCACTGGAGTAGCAAATGTTACCAGCGCATATGGCTAGAAATGGTACTCCATTCTCACTTCTGACCTCCAAATTAAGGCACTGCAGTCTGTCCTGTCCTCATCTGATGTGAATTCTCTTGACTATTGCCAGGCCAGTGCTTGCTGTCAATTCAGACTAAGAAGAGTAGGGACCCAGTCAATAAAAGAAAGACACTTGGCAATATGTATTGGAATTACTCACACCTGTTTCACTTCTGGGTCAATGTGCAGTATAAGGTAAATGCAATTCCAGTATAGGAATGAATCTGCAAAGATGTATGAAATGGCTCAAGGCATAATCAGTCATATTAATAATGAATTATAATTTTTAAGAAGTGGTAGAAAAATGAGTGTGTTGTTTGAAAAAAAAAATTAAACTTATGTTATTTAAACACTGTTATTGGAGTGTATTTAGACTGCAGTACACTAAAACAAGGAACCAGTGTCAAGATGGTAGCCTCCAAAATGGATTTCAAAGTCTGCTGCTTATTTTCTGTGGAGTTTTAAAAGATCTCAAAAGTTGAAGCAAGAATTGGTGGTTTAGTGAACGCTTCTGTTGTACATATTCATTTGGGCTTGGGGTGGGGGGGAGGCTGTACTTCAATAAAGGCATTTTTTAAACAACCCATTTGGAGTTTGAAAACATGGGAAACTAAACCACAACTCACTAGGGAGTGAGACACCAAACTACCGACTTGTTTTGTATGTTACTATGCTGTAGAAGATGTGTAGACTTGCACCTGGGGTCTGCAACTGATTGCAGGGACAACTGGAGGATGGGGTTGATGTCCCTTCTGACAATTGATCTGGTATTTCTAAATTTTTTAGAATGTATTGACAGTGTTCTTTTTAACAGGGCCTCTTGTAGCTGTACTGTGACAACAATGTTAACTTTGAAAAATAGTGTCATAATAAACTTTATGAACAAGATCTGTATGCAACCTTTTAAGAGATGGATGTAAGTGACCGCTTTGTAGGTGGGTGGGGTAGCTTAGCTGTTGTTTGTGATGTGGAAAAGTGTAAGCCCTGAGGACAGTGATTCACCAGCTTTTCAGAACCTAGGATGTACTTCTTTGATCCATACATTGCTAAGGAGACTCGTAAGACAGGACTTCAGCAGCCTATTGAGTATGGAGAAGTCAGCCTAATAAAAGAATGACAAGGCAGCAGGAGCAACAGCTTCAACTTCCAGAAAAGTGAAGGCATAAGATACTGTGCTGATAGTGAGCAGCTTTCCCAAGGCTAGTTAAATCTGCTTATCACAGCTGAAATATCGAAGAAAGTCTAGCAAGAGTTCTTCACCTTTTGGAACCTCCTTGAGTGATAGCTACTTGAGTTGACTCAAAATCAATAGGTCTAGCATTTAGACCTGAAAGGAAGGGCAATGAGCATAGGTAAGGTTTGCCTTTAAAATTTTTCATGAATTATAAAGAGTAGCGGAAGGTTTTTTAACAAGGTAAGAGTAATTTCTTTAATTTTCAGGTTGAATGAGAAGCTGCTGCTTGACAAAATGGGGAATGTCTTGCACATCCTCTTCAGTTGAAGGTTTCTGACTGGGTAAGATTTGTAGTGTATAGTAAAACATCTGTTTAACCCTTCTTTCCTTCTAGGCTTTCCTTTGCCAGCCTTTTGATATCAAGGAAAGCCATAAGTAGTAAGGAGCAAGTATTGCAGTATATGTCATCCGGTTCCTATCCAAGAATCTTGTGTTCCTGGCAGATACAAAATTGCTGTGTGTTCCAGATCAACAAGACAAATTGTAAATGTTTTGAAATAGGCACTCTGGTTACTGTAGGGGGGTGTGCTGGGGTCGGGGGTGGGGGGAAATTGTTCTGTGCCATGTAATGGAAAGAGCCCCCAGAAGCCCAGAAAGGCAGCAACGCTGAAGCAGTTCTTCAGTTCTCAGCAGTGTGTGACCTGCTGCTGCATTCATTCTGCACCCTTCAAGAGCCGGGACTTCCCTCCTAGTGAGTGGAGCTTGGCTTACCAGGTGGGGTTGTATGTACCTGTACAAATCAAAGAGCTCCCTTTTAGATTTTGTGTGCTTTTGGGCAGGGTAGTTAAGTGGAGGCCAGTACTGTCACATGATACCCTGAATCCCCAACAGCTTTTGTACAAGTGAAAACTCATGGAATCGGATTTTATGCACATTGGTTCTTAGCGCTTGGAACATGTATTATTTCCTTTTCTGCATCTTTGATCGTTACAGGTCCTTTCATATAGCAGTCCAGCATCCTTTTAAACTTCCTGATACGTTTCTGAGCCTGTGCATCATTTTTATGAGGTCAATTTCCATTTTAGTGTTGGCCATGCTGCAGTTATTCTGAAAATAGTCAAATGGAATCTGCATTTCAGTTTATCAGAGACTGAGGCATATTCACGAACTGATTCAAGTATTTAAACTTTCTGTCTGCCATCTGTAAACTTCCAGAAAGCAGTTCATGATTTAGTAATGTAAAATTAAAAGTTAATTTGGAAGTAATTTACAGAGATTTTCACAAAATCAGGAGCTACTTAATGGAAAATCTCCCAATGACTGTATATATTTTTTAAAAAACTTTGACAAAAGTTTTTGCTTAGCCAAGGTTGAGCCAAAATCTGAAACTGCAGCAGTACAGTTATAGTGTATTATGCCAGTCAGCTTGTTGCAGAGGTGACAAGCTTGCTTGCTTACACCTGGAAGTTGAAAACCTGTGATTTTCCTCTGCTAGGCAGAGCTTCCCCAGGGCATTTGTGTAGCAACAGGTAACAGGGAACAGCATTAGTGTTTCACGATTACTCAGGTGAGGGCAGATGCTGTTGTGCTTGCAAGTATCTTAAGATTGTTTTAACAGAAGTAATTTTTAACAAAAACTTACTAGTTTGTATTCTACTACTAGCCTTTGTATACAGCAGAATTCTACCTTTCCTTAACATTAGAGGATCCCACATTGCTGCAGACTGGTTTTGTGCCCTGGACAGGCCTTTTTGCACTACATAAAGAACTAAATATTCACTGTTAAAATTATTTTCACACTTTGATTCATAACACTCTTATTAGACTAATTGGCTTAGGTTCAATTATTCGTACCCTAATTTGTTCAGAAATAACTTTGTCAAAGATAAACACGTTCTTGGAGGGACTACTTGGTCAAGTGTAGCTTTGTCTAAGAGTCACTTTGAAGAGTTGAGAATGTTATTTTATAGCCACCTTTTTTCTTTACTGGCTGCTGTTGAAAATAGCAGCTGTAAATAACGATGGAGATCTAAAGATGCAAAGTTAATGAAGCACTGGTCCCTAAGCTGCAGTTGTACAGAAGTTTATTTGAAAACAAAGATGGTACTTCCAGGTAGTAAGGAGGGTTTCCCCAAAAGTAGGCCAGGTTGATGCAGATGTGTTAAGTATGTTATTACATAACATGAAAATTGAACACAGCATCTTAACTTTTATATCTGTTTAATATTTAAAGCTCTTAGTCTTTCAAGCATTGATTGTGTGATGTACTGATGTGCTGTCTTTGGTTCCTGTGTTTAAGACATTAACATGTTTTCATATGCTGTCTGCACTGGGGTGGAATGTTCTCTTAAAAATCAGTCTGTGGTCTCTGACAAGTGCCTGTATCTTAAATTGTGTGGAGCATGTAGGATCTTGAGTATCACTGAAATTCAGATATCTGATGGATGATTCTTTTTCTGCTGTGGGTGCTACAGGTTGCCATCTCTATCTATTAGCTTTTTCCTGAACTAAAGTAATCCAAGTATCTCCAAGTAGAAGAAAAATGGCCTTCATGTAGAAGATAATATCGCAAGACTGGAAACAGAATAAAATGGTATCATAACTGGCAAAGACTTCAAGAGCAATGGTGCTAGTGTGCTGGAATCTCAGAACTTGTGGTTAAACAAGTTAAAATAGCATAGAAATTAAAAAATTCAGTATAGTCCATAATGGATGAAATTTGTTTAAAATATTTCAATTTTGTATCAGAATAAAGTGTATATTGTCAAATGACTTACAATATAAAATGCGTTGCCATCACCTTTTTTTAGCGCTGTGATGAACACAAAGTGGTCTTGAATTATTGCAACACGTTTTCTTACAGGATCATCTTTCCAACTTGGGGACTGCAAGTCAGAAAACCTTGGTTCAGCCCATCTTTTCAGCTTTACTTTTAACAGTTTTAAAACTGGATGTTTTGATCAAGAAATAAATGGTTTCCATGTGGAAAATTGTCAGCATATAAGGTCAGCATTGTGATGCTTTAGACTTGTCAGTGTCTCTAGCCACTCTCAGGTTTGGGAATATACTCTGTACCTCAGTAATAATAATAAAGGTTATAGTTTGCACTATGAAGTTTTTACATACATGAGTGGTGTGGAATTTTTTTCATTAATGTTGGATGTTTCAATGCGAGTACAGTATTCACTGTGTTCATGATGTGAATACTGGTTTAGATGGAATGCAAGTTGTCACAGTCTGAGTTCCTTTAGCCTGATTCTTTGCCTGGTAAAATTCAAACAAGGTGTCTGCATTAACTGCAGGTTTTTTGTTGCACTTTTTGTCTTGGTAATGCTATCCTTGTATTATATTTTAGACATGGGTAGAAATGCAACAGCCCCTCTGAAGGCTGTAAGGTTGCTGTTTGGCTTTGGTTCTCACATTAGTGAACAAATTAAGGAACAAACTGAAGTGCAGGGCAAGAGTCTGTTTTATAACCACTTTGTAATTAAAGTATTTATATTGCAGTTAGAGAGAACATTTTCTCTGTAAATCAGACATTTGATAGCCTAATTAGTGGCAGGGGGAACCCAGGAGCTCTTTAGGTTCTCTCTGCTTTGCCATCAGACCTGCCTGTGTATTAGAGCTACTGTGTATCAGTGTTGAAAGACTGTCCAGGCCAAGGCTCAGTGTGCTTTCTCCTTAATGCCTATGCTCTAAAACAGCCATCCTCAAATATGGATTAGTCCTCTTGCTTTAAATGGCAGCAGTGTCTGGTATTCCTCTAGTGCTCGCCCAGGTTTGGCAACTGTTAGAGGTGCTTTTCTTCCTGAGCAGTGCTGGTGGCAAAGTCAAGAGGCACATTTAAATAACAGCAGGAGGAAAAGTATCACTCACTGCTGCAGTAGCTTTGATTTTAGCTGGTACCTGGCTGCCCTATCTAGAGCAAAAAAATCTGCTTTGTCCATAAAATCGAGCCTCCCAAGTTATCACATTGTTACTGACCGTTTGCTCCAAGCAGAGGAGTGTTCCTGCGTTCAGAGCACGTAAGGACTGGGCAGGGGGATGGCCTGGCGTACAGTTAACAAGGTCAGTATAACCAAGGTAAGCAGCCTCGAGGTGCAAGCTGGGTCACCTAGATTTGCATTTCCTAATACCTTCTGTAAAACTGCATATCTTAGTACTTGCTGTAACAGGCATGGTCCCTGTCACTGCAGGGATGCTGCAAATTTGAGATGAATTTTTTTCATGACTTCCCTGTATCTGCAGTGTCAAATACAGACATTTTGTGGGGCAGAGCCTCACCTGAAACTTTGCAGCAAGAAACACAGTATGAGAACTTCTATGAAACTTTTATGTTACTTTTCTCTTGAGGTAGGTAGGGCTGGAGCATCTGATAGTCCTAGGTTTAAGTACTAAAAACATTCTTCTGGTACTACCACTTGGCAGAACACGTACCTTTTCGGACATAGTTAATAGGATCATGGTTCCTGGTGTTACACTGCCCCGAAGCAAACCCACCTCTGTGGGGAAGCTGTTACTGCTCTGCTTTTCCTACTCCTGCTCTACTCAGCCAAGACTGCACCGCAGAGGGATAGTGTGTGTATGTGTGTGTGTTTGCACCAGGTATTGGGGAGACCTCTGCTATTCAGAATCAATAAATGAGTTGACAGGAAGATGAATGACAAGGTGACAAAGGTTGTGGGGTAATAAAAATAAAAGCTGACTGTGAAGT